CCGAAATTGTTGGATGTGCAGTCCTGCATAACTTGAGCATTAAGCAGATGTACAAGACAGCTTCAGGAACCTCAGATAAGCTATCTAAATTATGTTTGTAATTCTGGTCAGTATTATCATCATAAATTTGGGTAGAGAGGGGGGTTCAGTACATGACACACAGTAATCTCCAGACTAATTGGTGAGTATTATATTTATAAATTCTCCTTCTGTTATATAAATGTGTATTTATTAATTTTAATATACAGTCCACAAATTTATTTTAAATTTTACCAGAATTTCTGGTGATGTATATTTCATTTGCAAGTAATATAGGTCTAGAACAATTTGTGGAGAGATAGATTATGGTAGGTATCGAAGGGGGACATTTTTGGCGACCTAGGTGTCCTAAAATTCCTACTTGTCTCTGTAATTTTGATAAATAATAATTATCTTTGTTACCATTTACTTGTATGTATCTAATGAGATTCATCCAGGTAAATGTAATTTTCCACAGGATCTGTCCCTCTTTCCAACATCCTAAACTGAACTTCAGTTTTATAAAAACAACTTACAACTTTCAACGACTTATCATATATTCTATTCAGTTGCATCAGTAACTGCATCAATTCTCTACCCACTTCTCTTATGCCTTTTCCAAGTTTCTAAATGCAACAGACAACTCATGTTTTTCATCATAGTGTTGATTATCTATGCTTCAATGTAAACATTTGATTTCCGCAGGAAATTCTGTTCTAAATCTACTGTGTTGTTCTTGAAGGAGGGTTTCTGTCTTGTTCATCTGTTTAAGTCGCAGTTCTGCCGTGCACTCTACCTGCTGTGTTCCACACACTTATTATCCTAATTATAAGAGATTAAGTCTGGTTTCTTTGATTTAAGAAATTATACCTTCTCTCAGTCAAGCCTTGACTTTCTTTCTTATATACACTTACTGATGGTATACCAACGCTCCTCTTATACACACATACTCATGGAGCACATCAACCTCCCTTCTATCATACACACTGATGGATCACATCAACCTCCCTTCTATCATACACACTGATGGAGCACATCAACCTCCCTTCTATCATACACACTGATGGATCACATCAACCTCCCTTCTATCATACACACTGATGGATCACATCAACCTCCCTTCTATCATACACACTGATGGAACACATCAACCTTCCTTCTATCACACACACTGATGGAACACATCAACCTTCCTTCTATCATACACACTGATGGAACACATCAACCTCCCTTCTATCATACACACTGATGGATCACATCAACCTCCCTTCTATCATACACACTGATGGAACACATCAACCTTCCTTCTATCATACACACTGATGGAACACATCAACCTCCCTTCTATCATACACACTGATGGAACACATAAACCTCCCTTCTATCATACACACTGATGGAACACATCAACCTTCCTTCTATCATACACACTGATGGAACACATCAACCTTCCTTCTATCATACACACTGATGGAACACATCAACTTTCCTTCTATCATACACACTGATGGAACACATCAACCTCCCTTCTATCATACACACTGATGGAACACATCAACCTTCCTTCTATCATACACACTGATGGATCACATCAACCTCCCTTCTATCATACACACTGATGGAACACATCAACCTTCCTTCTATCATACACACTGATGGAACACATCAACCTTCCTTCTATCATACACACTGATGGAACACATCAACCTCCCTTCTATCATACACACTGATGGAACACATCAACCTTCCTTCTATCATACACACTGATGGAACACATCAACCTTCCTTCTATCATACACACTGATGGAACACATCAACCTTCCTTCTATCATACACACTGATGGAACACATCAACCTCCCTTCTATCATACACACTGATGGAACACATCAACCTTCCTTCTATCATACACACTGATGGAACACATCAACCTTCCTTCTATCATACACACTGATGGATCACATCAACCTCCCTTCTATCATACACACTGATGGAACACATCAACCTTCCTTCTATCATACACACTGATGGATCACATCAACCTCCCTTCTATCATACACACTGATGGAACACATCAACCTCCCTTCTATCATACACACTGATGGAACACATCAACCTTCCTTCTATCATACACACTGATGGAACACATCAACCTTCCTTCTATCATACACACTGATGGAACACATCAACCTTCCTTCTATCATACACACTGATGGATCACATCAACCTCCCTTCTATCATACACACTGATGGAACACATCAACCTTCCTTCTATCATACACACTGATGGATCACATCAACCTCCCTTCTATCATACACACTGATGGATCACATCAACCTCCCTTCTATCATACACACATGGAAAAGTATACACAAATGCAGTATAATGTGATCCTTTATTGGGAACGTTTCGCCCAGACAGTGGATTTTATCCAGTTACAAATAGATCTACCAGAGCAGAGAGTACATGAGTGTATATAGTGACCAGAGTGGTATGAAGGGTCAGGTGAGGAATGCTGAGAAGGTTGGATTTAAGAAGGACTGTCTGGTATGGGTCATTATCTTTGTTACTATGTAGGATAAGGATGATACAGTTTCCTGGCAAGGAGTTTACCTATGTTGTAAAAGTCGTCGTTCTGGTTGCAACAGTTGGATATACAGATGAGTGATGATTGCAAGATTCTGAGTCTCTTAATGTCTTCTTCCCTGGAGATGAGTCTTATGTCTCTGTAATTGATTAAATGGTTGTGGAAGTTACGGTGTAGAACACAGTCGTTCCTCAAGTTGTCCATTCAGTTGCGTATTGGTGTTCTGAAATACGTGTTTGGAGGTTTGTGGATGTCTCGTCCACGTATAATTAGTTACAGTCGTTGCCGGGGATTACATATACCCCTGCAGAGGATTAAACCTTGTGGTGTCTCTTTCTGGTGACGTCTTTGTATTGGGAAAGATGTCGGATACGTGTTTGGCAACGGAGTTGGTGTGGCGGACTATGTATCTCCTCTCTGCTGTATCTTCTCTGGGTGAGACGAAGATGCCGTGCATATTCCTTCATCTTAGTTTTCGTCTGAAGAAGGTTGCCCTGCAGGCGAAACTTTTCATCAATAAGGATACCTAGGTGTTGCACTTTTTTTTTATTAACACATCGGCCGTTTCCCACCAAGGTACGGTGGCCCGAAAAAGAAAAACTTTCACCATTATTCACTCCATCACTGTCCTGCCAGAGACGCACTTACACTACAGTTATAAAACTGCAACATTAACACCCCTCCTTCAGAGTGCAGACACTCGGACTCAAGTCCGACCTGCCGATTTCCCTGAATCCCTTCATAAATGTTACCTTGCTTGCACTCCAACAGCACGTCAAGTATTAAAAACCCATTTGTCTCCACAAGTGTTACACTTGTGTCTTTATATTAACTTTTTGGTATTGTGTAGTAATGGACATATTAAGGCTTGTCACCTGAGGTATGTGACACTGACACATGTACTCTGAGGTGCCGAAATACCTTGACTTCCTCTATACTTCCCTACAACATGACCAATAACCTTTCATACCTTTGAGTTCTGCTCAAAGTTCTTCTCTTAAAGTTCCACTTTTAAAGTTCTACTTTTAGAGCTCTCTTAAAATTTTATTTACCTTTAGAGCAGGAAGAAATAAACGAATAAAAGTTATAAAGTCAAGGTTGAAGCAATTCACCGTAAACTCAAAATTCTGAGCTGAGTGATGCAGCAGTAGGAGACGAAATCACAGGTGGGCGGAGCCCCACGTATTGTTAAGTAGGCAGCACGCCTTGTATCCGTGTATCCTCACGCAGTGTTTCCCTGACACAGGTTGGATGGACGTGGACGAGGTTGTTGATCAGCATCAACCAGACGGACGTGCGTGTGTGGATCAACTGCGCAGACTACGACAAGCAGCGCCTGGCGGGACACATTGATCTGCAGATACCTGAGGGAGGCTTATTGTACTTCCGTCAGGAACCCGGACTCAAAAACAAGCTGATTGTGAGTACTTGTTACTGGCTGACCTTTGGTGTGAGTAACTGACAATGAGGGACCTTTGGTGTGAGTAACTGACAATGAGGGACCTTTGGTGTAACACTGGATGATCTTTGGTATAACACTGTGTGACCTTTGGTGTAACGCTGTGTGACCTTTGGTGTGAGTAACAATCACAACTGTGAATGATTGTTGTTCCATAGTGACTGTAACTTTGAATGTTTATTGGTCTAAAGTCAATATCTCTCTCTCTCTCTCTCTCTCTCTCTCTCTCTCTCTCTCTCTCTCTCTCTCTCTCTCTCTCTCTCTCTCTCTCTCTCTCTCTCTCTCTCTCTCTCTCTCGTGCTGTGCCACCACTGAGTGTGGATGGTGCCATGTTGGGCACAAGTGAATATGTTGCCATGTTGAATACCACAACTGAGTATGTTGCTGTGCTTTATTCCACCATTGAGTATGTTGAATACTCCCACTGAGTATTTAGCTATGTTGAATATCACCAACGTTCATGTTACTTTGTTGAGTGCCACCACTGAGTATGTTTATGTTGCTATGTTGAGTGCCACCGAGTGTGTTTATGTTGCTATGTTGAGTGCCACCACTGAGTATGTTTATGTTGCTGTGTTACAGGGAAGCATCCAGATGGCTAAGCTAATGAACTTCAGTGAGAACGACCGGGTGTGGAACTGCTCCTACGACTCCCAGTTTGGCCCAGGTTGGCGCCCGCCTCTCATTGGTTAACTGACTAGCCCAGTCGTCGCCCAGCCTGCCCTCCCATTGGCTAACTCTCTCGCCCAGTCGTCTTCCCCATCCCCAAGAAAGTAGCCCAGGCGGCCTGTCCTCTATCTCAGATAAGGACCTCCCAATAACAGCGTTGTGAGCTCAAAGCTAACACTTCGCCGACTGGGCTCAGCAGAGCTATTCCAAGCTAACTCACTACCCATCTGCTGCCCAACATTTCTACCACTGCTGTCTTCTAACCTACATAACACGCATGTTGCACAACTGACAAAGGTGCTGAGATCAATATGTGTGCTATTAACGCTGTACATTAGCTACGACTCTGTACAGAGAACGGGAGTACCGTTGTTTGTACTGAATGTTAGTGGTCTGTCTTTCAGGAAACAGGACACTGATTTGGCAGTCCTTCGTGGTAGCCTCTGGTAAGATTCTGCTTGGATGATATACATGTTTTTATTTTGTATTTACAGCGATGGACTTACGGGATAAAGTTCCTGACTTACGGAACTTGATACTCAAAAAATGCTCTATATCTGGATCCATTTTGGTGAAGGTGCATCTTTTATCTTCGAATCATATGAACTTGACCATTTTTTTACTGGATTTAAAGGTTAAAACCTTTTGCCTCGGCTCAGTTCTCTTTAAGATACACACTTTTACGCACCTTACATGACGCCCATAAGAGTCTACTGACACCCAGGTACCTATTTATTACCAGGTGAATATGGGCAACAGGTGTTAGGAAATTTGACCATAAGGACACCCCAGGATGCCACCCAGAACATTCGAGTCAAACCCAGGTGAGGAGAATTTAAGCTCTTTGATAAGTGGGAATCACACTTATGTATACATGGAAGACTGAGGACCAAGCCAGCGTTCCTGCAAATCCAAAAGTGAGCAGAGTAAGCCACTGATTTGTCTCCTCAAGTGGGTTATTGAATCTGTTACTGTAGAGGGTTGCTAGAAATGAGAAAACGTTTAGCGAGATCTCAGAAAATAGTCAGCCATGATGTGTTGTTTGTCAGCATAAAAAGAATGTTACGAGGCAGTAAAGAGAGGATTTGTACACCCACGTACGCAAGCGCGAGTGAGCGCACACACACAATACTAACAAATCAGGTACATACAAACCGCTTCAGTTAGTCATTATATTATACCTGTAGAAGGTCGTATACCTTATGTATAAAAACATACATGATATACACCCACATACTCATTGTATACAATGTTCTTGTATATGAGTTTGTGTGAATATAATAACGGTGTACAATACCGACTAGTTGATAATTAAGACACATGTGCAACAGTTAGGCATCTTTATTCCGAAACGTTTCGCCTACACAGCAGGCTTCTTCAGTCGAGTACAGAGGAGGCAGCAGAAGCAGTAGAGATGTGAAGACGATGTAATCAGTCCATCACCCTTCAAGACGTAGTTTTGAGGTGGTCAGTCCCTAACTGTTGCACATGTGTTTTACCTATCATCATATTAATTGGTAATAGATAATATTGATAGATGATTTACAGATAAGTTAAGTGGCAGGCAAAAATCCCAGACATTTACGTGCATTCAGTATATCTAGTTACACCCATGTACACCCATGTACACATACGTACATTCAGTATACTGGTAAAAATCTCTGTTCCACAGGGCACAGTACTCATCCCACTTCTGTTTCTCGTTCTGATATCCAACACTGACGAACTCATAGCACCTTAATATCCTTTGCTGTTGACTCTAGCCAGAATCTCTCCGAGAGTGACATCTGTCGAAGTGAAAGAGAATCTTCCACTGGATCTCAGACTCAAGTGTGATGTTTATCGAGGACAAGTTTCAGTTGCTCCGCTATGGAAGACTGGAGGAAATAAAGTACTGGACAAGCTCAAATCATGTGCGAGACATAGGAGTAATGATGTTAGAAGATCTCACATTCAAGGATAACAACTATGATGTTATTGCTGCCACAAGGAGAATATTAGGCTGGATAACTGCAGCTTTCAAGACAAGTCAGTGATAACATACTTTAGGTCACTGGTTTTCTCCAGGCTGGAATACTGCTGCATACTGACGGCCGCCTTCAACACAGACGAGATTGCTGAGCTGGGACACATACTGATAACTTTCACTGCTCGTATACACTCAGTCATCTGAACTAATGGAAACTCTTGAAGTCCCTTCAACTATATTCCATTCGTTGACGAGAAAAGTACATAATAATTTACAACTACAAGAGCCTGGAGGAACTGTTCCACAACCTGAACAGCGAAATCATTCTGTATGACAAGAAGAGACTTGGTAGACAGTGCAAAAATGCCTTCACTAAAAAGCAGAGAAGCGACGAGTGTACTATAAATGGCGATGAGTGTTAGAGGTCCTCGACTCTCCAACGGCTTCCCTTCATGCCTGTTGGGAATTACAAACAAACTTCTAGGTGTCTTCAAAGGGGATTGGACAGGTTCTTCAAATCAGTTCCTGACTAGCCGGGCTCTGGTTCATACGTTGGACTGTACGCAGCCAGCAGTAACAGCTTAGTTGATCAGGCCCAGATCGACCAGAAGACCTGGTCTGGGACAAGATCAAGGTTCTTCAGGTGTTCTCTAGTGTGTCCTCTCTAATTCACCTGACAATACAGGGTACAAGCCTGCAGTTTTGAATGTCGTAGGTGACACTGCCTGGAACAAGTTATGCTGTCGTATAAGGTGACTACAATGAATGGAACAATAGATAACGTACACGGATGCAGCACGGATGTTTGTATGAACATACGAACATTTCTGCTACATTCGTGAACACGAATGTAGCGCGAATGTTGATTTATTAATATTAGAATGAAAGCCTGCTGGATGTACCAATATTCAGAGAAATAGGAGAGGGAATATTAACACATGAAGTCAAGAATTGTTTAGGATAGAATAAGAGTGGGATGAGAGAAGTGGGTTGTGTAAAATATTTACGTATCTCGAGGTTAGATGAGAGTACAGTTAGAGATATTGACACTTGTTAGGTGAAGGATTGAGTATTTTTGCAACAAGAAATACAGATATATATATATATATATATATATATATATATATATATATATATATATATATATATATATATATATATATATATATATATATATATATATATACACATATGCATAAAAGAGAAAATTTAAAAAACAGGAAAATCACAGTATCGTGGCTGGAACAATTCCCAGCTGAGAGTTCAAAGAGGAACGATGTTTCGGCTGCTTGTGGACCATCGTCAGGGTGCGAGTGAGAGAAACGAAGAGACAATCAAGAGACTGGTCAACTCAAGAGGTCAGAAGAAAGGTCAGGTCACGTGACCCAGCTTTAGCACCATCATTGGTACCTTTGTCTCTGCAGTGGCTAAGAAAGAACAGACTGTGTGGATGGGTCTGTGAAGACTAAGAAAGGAATTGATAGCTGTATTTGGGATAGTTTTAGGAGAGAACTTTTTGTCTGAATACTTTGGTCCACATGATGGTCAGAAAGATGAACTCTACTACTACTGTGTTCCTTAAGATGATCTGAAAAAAGTGACCAGTTTTACCTGTGTACTGAAGTGGCTAAGACTACAGCAGTGACCCGAACCTCACTGTCACCTCGTCCTTCATGTCTCTGTCTGATCCTCACCTCTTCACCTGTCCTGTCACCTCACCTGCTGACTTCTATCTACCTCTTACGGACCGAAACATCGTCTAACTCTTCCTTTTGTGAATTGTAAGTTACAGGAGAAATAAATTTGGTGATTAATCACACACTGGAATGTTTGAGGCTTATTAAACGACAGAAACAGTAAGATAAATGGGGTATGTGAGGAGAACAGTGTCAGTGTAATAGAGAAGTGAACGTGAGTGAATCAGAGGTGATGGTTAGTGGATAATGAAAGAATGTGTTGGAAGAAAGGTGGGTTAGTGTGAGGAGGTGTGGTGTGGGTGTAGTGCTGCTGGAGTGTGCAGTAGAGGGTAGTGTATACAGCAGGGTGGGTTCAGGTGGCAAGAGGAATGATTGGTGGAATGATGAGTTGAGTGTGGAGGCAGTGTGTGAGGCAGTGTGTGTGAGGCAGTGTGTGTGAGGTAGTGTGTGAGGCAATGTGTGCGAGGCAGTAAACAGTACCAGAAGTGAGAGTAGAGGCAATGTGTGAGGCAGTGTGTGAGGCAGTAAATAACACCAGAAATGAGAGTAGAGGAAGTGTGTGAGGCACTAAACAGCACTAGAAATGAGTGGGGAGGCAGTGTATGAGGTAGTAAACAGCACCAGAAGTGAGAGTAGAGGCAGTGTGTGAGGCAGTAAACAGCACCAGAAGTGAGAGTAGATGCACTGTGTGAGACAGTAAACAGCACCAGAAGTGGGTATAGAGGCAGTGTGTAAGGCAGTAAACAGCACCAGAAATAAGTGGGGAGGCAGTGTATGAGACAGTAAATAGCATCAGAAGTGAGTGTGGAGGCGGCAGTGTGTGAGGCAGTAAATAGCATCAGAAGTGAGAGTAGAGGCAGTGTGTGAGGCAGTAAACGGTACCAGAAGTGAGAGTAGATGCAATGTGTGAGGCAGTAAACAGCACCAGAAGTGGGTGTAGAGGCAGTGTGTAAGGCAGTAAACAGCACCAGAAATAAGTGGGGAGGCAGTGTATGAGACAGTAAATAGCACCAGAAGTGAGAGTAGAGGCAGTGTGTGAGGCAGTAAACAGCACTAGAAATGAGAGTAGAGGCAGTGTGCGAGGCAGTAAATAGCATCAGAAGTGAGAGCAGAGGCAGTGTGTGAGACAGTGTGTGAGACAGTGTGTGTGAGGCAGTGTGTGTGAGGCAGTGTGTGAGGTAGTGTGTGAGGCAGTGTGTGAGGCAGCAAGGACGATGAAAGGGGGTAATGCAGGTAAGACAGATGGGCTTTGGGCTGAGAGAGTAATGGCGGGTGGAAGATGCAGTATGGTAAGATCTTACAGGTGAGGATACTGGGTGGTAAGATCTTACAGGTGAGGATACTGGGTGGTAAGATCTTACAGGTGAGGATACTGGGTGGTAAGATCTTATAAGTGAGGATACTGGGTGGTAAGATCTTACAGGTGAGGATACTGGGTGGTAAGATCTTACAGGTGAGGATACTGGGTGGTAAGATCTTACAGGTGAGGATACTGGGTGGTAAGATCTTATAAGTGAGGATACTGGGTGGTAAGATCTTACAGGTGAGGATACTGGGTGGTAAGATCTTACAGGTGAGGATACTGGGTGGTAAGATCTTACAGGTGAGGATACTGGGTGGTAAGATCTTACAGGTGAGGATTCTGGGTGGTAAGATCTTACAGGTGAGGATACAGAATGGATAGATCTTGCCCATTGATTACCATGTTGCTTGCACGTGTAAGAGAAAGGAGAACATGAGATTATTTAGATCAACAAGACGAAAAGTAGAAATGAAGATGAACGAGGAGGATTTAGAGAAGAACGAGGATATGTAGATCAAGTGTTTACATTAAAACACGTACTTTGTGCTTGTTACAGCCATGAATTTAGGAAAGGGATACCCTAGGGTAGTTAGTGAGTCTAGGGTAGTTAGTGAGTCTAGGGTAGTTAGTGTTGCAGGCGTTGCAAATGTATGAAGTGAGGGTAAGTTGTTGAAAGATTTTACGAAGAGAATGTCCCTCTTGGTCAGCCATTTACAAAAAAAGGGAAAGAAGCTTCGGTAAAAAGCGAGCCTCGTTCTAGGACGTGTAATGTCACTGGTCGCTCGACATTTTAAGTGATGAAGTTGTAAAAGATGTGAATGATGTGAGGATCAGAAGATAATGTGATGTGAGGTGAGAGATGTGACATAGTTGCTCTTTGTTGATGAGGGAGATTAGGTGTGTAAAAGAAGAAAATTTAAGGAAAATAGCAGGAGGAGAGTAAGAATTAAGTGAATGAAAGATTAACTCTCAGATTGCTGTAACACTTTACGACAGCTCACAAAATGCGTGCAAAACAAATAACTGAAAAAGTACATGGATGGATATTTAATATTCTAATGAACTGAGCCCAAATGGTAATAATAAAGAGTGTGAAGTCAGAGGCTGCCAGAGTGAAAAGAATTGTTTCCCAAAGCTCAATACTTACCCTTGTTCTCTCTCTCATTCTGACATTCTACTTAGACACATAAAACATAGAACCGTGTAATCCACTGCTTATAGAATGTGAATGAGAGCGACATCTATTGAGGACACAGCACACCTCCAAGCTCATGTAAACAAAGTCTTGCAGTGGACCACTGACAACAATATTATGTTTAATGAGGACAAGTTGCAGTTACTTCGTTATTATGTAAAGATTGAGGAATTAAGACTGGAAAATAGAATAAAGATAACTCAGATTACTAGACAGAGTGCAAGGCTATTGTGAGAGACCTGGAAGTGATAATGTCAGAGAATCTCGCCTTCAAGCATCACAACAGTGTCACTATCACGACAGCAAGGAAAAATGATAGGCTGGATAACTTGAACCTTTAAAACAAGAGATACCAATTAAGAGATACTATTCCAGTCTCTTATTGTCTCTATCCTGTACTCTAACAGCTCCAGCAGCGCTGTATGACACTTCTCGGTTTAGCGCCGTCTTTAATTATAATAATAATAATCTAACATCTCCGTTCAAGTCAAAGGAAACCAGAGACCCGAAGAATGAATGTACAGCACACAGAACCTTCACTGCTAGTATACACTCAGTCAAACACCTACATTACTGCGAACGTTTGAAATCCCTCGATCTGTACTTCCTGGAACACTGGAGAAAAAGGTACATTGTAATCTCGACATGGGAAATTCTGGAAGGACTGGCCCCAAATCTGCACACATCAATCATCTCACATAAAATAAATGCTTGGCATACCATGCAAATACTACCAATTAAAAGCAGGGGAGTAATAAGTACACCAAGGAAAAACTCATTAAGCCTGCAAGGACCAAGACTTCTCAACACCCTACCATTATATATAAGAAGGATGCTAACACGCCCCTTAGATTTCTTCAGTAGAGAACTTGACAAGTTTCTCTATTTATTCCTGATCAGCCCTAGTGCATACGTAGTACTTAGTGAGGCTGGCACCAGCAGTCTGGTGAATTAGGTCATCTGTCAAGAGACCTGGTCTGGGACAGGGCAGCGGCGGGGGAGTTGACCCCTCAACACTCCAAGAAAAACTTTCTAATTCAGCTTGGTGGGAAAGTGGAAAAAGTAAGTGTATATACATAAGACATTATATATATATATATATATATATATATATATATATATATATATATATATATATATATATATATATATAATACATATATATATATATATATATATATATATATATATATAAATATATATATATATATATATATATATATATATATATAAGGCACCGTATATATATATATATATATATATATATATATATATGGCAGGGTATATACATAAGACAGTGTATATACGTAAAGCAGTGTCTATATACATAAGGCAGTGTATATTCGTAAAGCAGCGTATATATATATATATATATATATATATATATATATATATATATATATATATATATATATATATATATATATATATATATATATAAATATATATATATATATATATATATATATATATATATATATATATATATATATATATATATATATATATATATATATAAAGCAGTGTATATACATAAGGCAGTGTTTATATACATAAGGGAGTCTATATACATAAGGGAGCATATATACATAAGGAAGTGTATATACATAAGGCTGCGTTTATATACATAAAGCAGTGTATATGCATATGGCAGTGTATATTCACAAGGCAGCATATATACATACATAAGGCAGTGTACCTACATAAGGCAGTGTATATACATAAGGCAGTGTATATACATAAGGCAGCATATATACATATAGCAGCGTATTTACATAAGGCAGTGTTTATATACATAAAGCAGTGTATATTCATATGGCAGCGTATATACACAAGGCAGCATATATACATAAGGCAGTGTACCTACATAAGGCAGTTTATATATAAGGCAATGTATATACATAAGGAAGTGTTTATATACATAATGCAGTGTATATACATATGGCAGCGTATATACACAAGGTAGCATATACACATAAGGCAGTGTATATACATAAGGCAATGTATACATAAGCGTACAAACATTTGGTTTGGAAGTGTGTATGTCAGAGATGACTTTGACTCACAACAGATGAGTGGAACAAAGAGGCAGGAAGAGGCCTCTCTGCCTCTTGTAGCAGATCAGGATAACTGCTGAAGGAGCAGCAGTATATCTGTTCAACTGCTGCAAGAGTCCTACTGTCTCGCTTCTGCCTCTTGAGCCTTGTATCGTGAGCTCTACCTCGTGAGCTCTACCTCGTGAGTTCTACCTCGGGGGCTTTGTCTCGTGAGCTCTACCTCGTGAGCTTAGACTTCTTAGCTCTATATCTGCCAGGAGATCACTTTATCAAACTCGTCACAAGTCAGTATCCTAAAGTAATCGGTTACTTTCCACGCATTAAAGCCGATTTTGCATGCTAAGAAGGACGCAGTTACCGGGAAAAATGATGCATCATCACAAAGTCTGGACAACAAAGTGCAGCAGCGGTTCCCTCCTGCCTCCACACTGACTGCAGGACGGAAGGTACGTCAACATTCCACCACTCCATTAATAAATCCACACGCTCTCAGGTCTCCTTCAAAAGACATGGATGATGCCCAGTATACCCTCCGTGTGCCAGCACACCCAGTATACCCTCCGTGTGCCAGTACACCCAGTACTACCTGGCAACCGGGCCATCGACACGCCCCAAAATTATTTAGATATCTAATCCAGTAAGTACTTTAAGATCTACTTCACGATCTCTGTCTCAAGATCTGGTTCACTGCCGACTGGATTTCCAACGATCCAAACTCTTCTGTTCTACGGAGAACATACTTCTCCCAGGGTAGTTATGTTAATGAGATTGATAACGTAAACAACCTCATAATAACCTGGCTCCAGCAACTGTATTATTTTCTTAAAAGACATTACAACTATATAAATGTATGTATATATATATATACATATATATATATATATATATATATATATATATATATATATATATATATATATATATATATATATATATATATATATATATATATATATATATATATATATATGGTAGTGTGGGAACATCAGTGGTAGTGTGAGAATATCAATGGAGCGTGAGAATATCAATGGAGCGTGAGAATATCAATGGAGCGTGAGAATATCAATGGAGCGTGAGAATATCAATGGTAGCGTGAGAATATCAATGGTAGCGTGAGAATATCAATGGTAGCGTGAGAATATCAATGGTAGCGTGAGAATATCAATGTTAGCGTGAGAATATCAATGGTAGCGTGAGAATATCAATGGTAGCGTGAGAATATCAATGGTAGCGTGAGAATATCAATGGTAGCGTGAGAATATCAATGTTAGCGTGGGAATATCAATGGTAGCGTGAGAATATCAATGGTAGCGTGAGAATATCAATGGTAGCGTGAGAATATCAATGTTAGCGTGGGAATATCAATGGTAGCGTGAGAATATCAATGGTAGCGTGAGAATATCAATGGTAGCGTGAGAATATCAATGGTAGCGTGAGAATATCAATGGTAGCGTGAGAATATCAATGGTAGCGTGAGAATATCAATGGTAGCGTGAGAATATCAATGGTAGCGTGAGAATATCAATGGTAGCGTGAGAATATCAATGGTAGCGTGAGAATATCAATGGAGCGTGAGAATATCAATGGTAGCGTGAGAATATCAATGGTAGCGTGAGAATATCAATGGTAGCGTGAGAATATCAATGGTAGCGTGAGAATATCAATGGTAGCGTGAGAATATCAATGGTAGCGTGAGAATATCAATGGTAGCGTGAGAATATCAATGGTAGCGTGAGAATATCAATGGTAGCGTGAGAATATCAATGATAGCGTGAGAATATCAATGATAGCGTGGGAATATCAATGGCAGCGTGGGAATATCAGTGGTAGCGTGAGAATATCAATGATAGCGTGAGAATATCAATGGTAGCGTGAGAATATCAATGGTAGCGTGGGAATATCAATGGCAGCGTGGGAATATCAATGGCAGTGTGGGAATATCAATGGTAGCGTGAGAATATCAATGGTAGAGTGAGAATATGAATGGTAGCGTGGGAATATTAATGATAGCGTGAGAATATCAATGGTAGCATTGGAATATCAATGGTAGCGTGAGAATATCAATGATAGCGTGGGAATATCAATGGTAGCGTGAGAATATCAATGATAGCGTGGGAATATCAATGATAGCGTGAGAATATCAATGGTAGCGTGGGAATATCAATGGCAGCGTGGGAATATCAATGGTAGCGTGAGAATATCAATGGTAGCGTGGGAATATCAATGGTAGCGTGAGAATATCAATGATAGCGTGGGAATATCAATGATAGCGTGAGAATATCAATGATAGCGTGGGAATATCAATGATAGCGTGAGAATATCAATGGTAGCGTGAGAATATCAATGATAGCGTGAGAATATCAATGGTAGCGTGGGAATATCAATGGTAGCGTGAGAATATCAATGGTAGCGTGAGAATATGAATGGTAGCGTGGGAATATTAATGATAGCGTGAGAATATCAATGGTAGCATTGGAATATCAATGGTAGCGTGAGAATATCAATGATAGCGTGGGAATATCAATGATAGCGTGAGAATATCAATGATAGCGTGGGAATATCAATGGTAGCGTGAGAATATCAATGGTAGCGTGGGAATATCAATGGCAGCGTGGGAATATCAATGGTAGCGTGAGAATATCAATGGCAGCGTGGGAATATCAATGGCAGCGTGGGAATATCAATGGCAGCGTGGGAATATCAATGGCAGAGTGGGAATATCAATGGCAGAGTGGGAATATCAATGGCAGCGTGAGAATGTCAATTGTAGCGTGGGAATATCAATGGCAGCGTGGGAATATCAATGGCAGCGTGGGAATATCAATGGCAGAGTGGGAATATCAATGGCAGCGTGAGAATGTCAATTGTAGCGTGGGAATATCAATGGTAGCGTGGGAATATCAATGGTAGCGTGGGAGTATCAATGGTAGCGTGAGAATATCAATTGTAGCTTGGGAATATCAATGGTAGCGTGGGAACATCATCTTCATGGTATAGGTACCATGAGCACATATTCTGAGGCAGGTAAGATGTGAGCCCTTCTTCTTTAAGGTATATCTCCAAGAAGGAAGCCTTATATATAAATATATATATATATATATATATATATAAAATATATATATATATATATATATATATATATATAATATTATATATATATATATATATATGTTAGCTCCGTAAAGACCAGAATTCTTGGGCAGATTTATATAGGGTTACCTTCATTTCTCATTTATACAACTTAATATGTAAACTTTCTCCTCTCAAGGTCTTGTTGTTTATATATGTAAATGCACACTATACTTGGAAATGTTTAACCCAGGACATTACCTTGTGTTATAGATTCATGTGGTATATATATTATATATATTATATATTATATATATATATATTATATATATATATATATATATATATATATATATATATATATATATATATATATATATATATATATATATATATATATGCTCCTATGTACGGTAGACAATAGTTTTTGGTATTGTTTTGTGAAGAGACTAAGGTGTTCCGTGTTCGAAATACGAGCAGGTTCTTGTGTAGATTATCCTCCCTGAATACTGCAGTTCTCTCATCTTGTAAACAAACACTAGAACCTTCAGTAGCCAAAAAGATAATCGTTGCTGTGAAACTTTATATAAAAAGATATTCCTTACGTATTTTTTTAAGTGCCGACTGTATCATAGCTAGAAATATAAGGATCACTGAACGTCTTGTACACAGCAAGACTGTTGCTGTGTACACACGGGATTTACCGTTTGTTGACGTGTTACGTACACTTTGATGCTTCTATATATTAAATAGCATACATGTATATGGTATTATTTGAGCCTTAGAACCCGATATTCCTTCGGTGTCTTGAGAAATATTTTGAGTAATAGTTGGTTGTAGCTCTCCAGCCACTGTGATGTTCTATGTACATTTAAAGTGTACATTGTGACCTCCAGTGTAGTGTACAAGGGTAACAGAGTGTGGCCTCGACCGCAGTGTACCGCAGTGTAGTAACAAGTGTACAACAGGTACACA